GTGGTGCGCATAAGAAGTGGGTCTGTACCTCTCAAGTACCTCAGCCAAAGAGGAAATAGAGAGGGAAAGAGGGAAATGAGACTGGGAAGTTAGGATAACAAGGAGGCTGTGCCCTCTAGCAATTTGAGAGACCCCATGGGAAATGTTCCACGGTCCTTAGTATTATTTGAATAAAGTTACAGGACTCCTCTGTCTCCTTTTTGGACATAAACCTCTGGCATCTTGAATTAATTTTCCTAACTCTGGTAACCACTGAACAAGTGTGTTTTGGCAGGCCTGAGCTCAAGAGTGATCCCATCCCGGACCCAGAACTGGACCTGCACTCCAGTGTGAGCAGCGTGGTACAAAACAGAAAACAAGCAGCTGCTTTTGAAGTAGGAACCTTGACTCAGGTAATAGAAGCCCAGGCTGTACCTTTTAACAGATCAGCACAAAAAGCAGAATTAGTGAGCATACACTGAGTGCTAGAAATCACTGAAGGAAAAAGGGTAAACATATGGACTGATTTAACATATGGGTTTGGAGTAATACACCGTGAAACCACATGGAAAAAAGGGAACTGTTATTGGCATAGGGGGCTCCTATTAAATACAGAGAATAAATTAGTCCACTGCTGCAGAGTGTGCAAAAGCTGAAAGGTGGCCGTGATGCCCTTGTAAAGCTCATCAGTTTGGAGGCTCCCCAGTTAATACAGGGTATCAATTCACTGACAAAATAGCTAAAGAGGTTGCTGAAAAGGGTATCTTTGCACTAATACCTAGCAAAAAGTTGAATGTCTGGGAACAAAAACCAAATTATAGAAATCAGGATAGCCAATTAGCCTCATCATAAGAAGCTACAAAAAATCTCAGCAAATGATTGGTAAATTTATGTGGGCACGTAGCTGTACCTCCACAATTAATGTATAAGATAGATAACAGAACTAAAATATGAGGAAACACATTAGGAAAGAGAGAATATGGTAACTACTTTATAAAGGAATATAGTAAGCACAATGATGGCAGAAAATAATAGATCAGTTGTTGAAAAACAAGTGATTTGTTTTGTAAAATAATCCCAAGGAGGGAGGAAGGCCACCTCCAGGGCTAGTAAAACACAGGAATTTACATGCAGATTATTGGC